GTAACAATAACCCTCAACAAAGAGCCAAGCAGACCCGATCTCTTGTATATATAATATATACAGATTATTTATCAAATTTATTATGTTAAACCACTAAAACTAATATTTTGGATTAGTTTCCAATTAGCTTTACTTTTGCTTGAAATGTTCGCCCATTTTTTCCAACTATTTCCAACTCTCAAGCTGAGAACTCGAAATAAATCGATAGAGCCTACATCCGTTCCCTTTTTATAGAGAGAGAGAGTTTATCATACGAATAACACTCGAAGGACTCCCACTGGCCATTGACCATAATTGCTAAGCGTCTATAAAGTTTTCCCTTGCTGTGCATGCCACTCCCCCAACTGCACTCCCCCAGGCACTTGCCAAAGGCCAAAAAGTCGGCTACGTGTTGGTTTACCACAAAAACAAAGTGAAAAAAAAAACCGGAAAAACACGGGGGAAAATTCAACTAAAATAGAAGCGTTAAAATATTGCCAACATTTCCGCGCTTTTCCCCAAAAAACAAAAAAAAAATGTGAAAAATCATGGAAGGAAAAAAAGTTTATACGGCCGTCAGGGGGAGGAGCATGACCTCTGACCAGGAGGAGCAGCAGCTGATCCTCGCCAAAAAGCTTTTACAGGCAGACTCCCTATTTGGGAGTCTTGGAGCGGAAATTATGTAAATTTAAGTGTTGCTGCCTCATCCAGCCCAGCCCCCTCTGCACCCGCTGCCCACTGTGTTTGAGGCAATGAAAACATGAAAGGAAAAACGGAAAAAAGGAAAAGCGCAGAGAGATGCCAACAAATAACCAATAAAAAGCAACAAGCAACGGCCCGACGAACCAAAAAAGAAAACATCACAAAGTTTTGGGGCACACAATTTCCCACATTTTGGGTGGAGCCTTCCACCCCCCCTCCGCCCTACACTCTTGTTTTTCCAGGCAACAAAGTTTTCCGTAATTGTTTTTGCATTTTGTGGCGCACACATCGTGAGTGTATAGAGGAGGAGATGCGAGGGGGAGTGGGCAGGAATAGGAGCACAAATGTGTCCTTTGGTGTATTAAAAAGTTTCCCATTTTTTTTTGGTTTTTTTTTCAGTGGGAAAGTCTGGCGGCTGGCAACTGGCACTGGCCCAAAAACATTTGCCCAGGGTATGGGTCCGTGGTCCATTGCCCATTAACATTTTATATGCAATTATGATTATTTTTCCCATTGTGCATTTGCGGTAATCTTTGGGGAGCAACTGTTGAAAGTTGAGGGGGCCAACAAATTTAATGGGCGTCCACTCCGGAAAACCCAGAGACAGAATCGATAAATGTTTGAGGGAAAATGCACTGCCGCCGAATCCCTGCCACATGTTGCAGAATGTTAATTGAAATGGCAAAATGAGGAATTTAATTTCATTGCCAGCACCAGATGATTAAAGTCAATGATGAATTCAATTTCAAGTATCCGATGATTGTTTCCCCTGAATGGACGTTTTCCTCAATTGTTTCTCTTATTTGTGAGGTATTCCGTTGATATTCCATGAGCCAAAATTGATTAAAATATGTCGAAGAAATCTGAGCAATATTTCCGCAATATAAGGCCGAAGCAATCTGTTGTATTTTTTTCTCTCCAAATGCTTTTTCACTCCTTCCCAGAGTACCAAATGGTTCTTTGTTCTACCGCCTCTGGCATTATTTTCTTGGGTAATATGATTTTGGATTCAAGCCATCATTCATTTCATTCGATTTTGCAGTCAGAAGGAGAGACCTTGTCATCACCTGAAGTCCATGGGCTGGCTAGTCCATGCCTGCGTCAAGCTATATTGACCCTCAGCAAAGACCATTCTGTGCCTCTGCCTGTCCCATCCTATTTCTGACCCTTCCCTGTCCCTGACTGACTGCAAGCAGCAGCAGCCATTCTGTGGTCATTAGCCCAAAACCAAACTTGACTTTTACTCCTGGCCGAGATTTTCTGCAGAATTTGCAAGAAAAAAGCCAAAAATGGAAAGGAGAAACGAATGCGAGACGAAGGCAGGACCCAAAAATGTATCCACAAAATGCGGATGGCGACACAAATCTTCTTTATTGCTTGCTACGTTTTGCAATGCACAGACTGTCCTGTGCCACATGCCTCCTGCCTCCAGCCTCCAGCCTCCTGCCTGCCTGGCTACTGCCTGCCTGCTGTCTCTTTGCATGTGTCTGCTGGTGCTCTGAGTGTGGACGTTTGACAAGAGGACATTAGGTGGGGGCTACCAGACAAACAACTAATGGCCATTCTGGGATCCATTTTACCTGCTTGGATCCCTGCCCTGGTCACAGGTGCTTGGGCTTACCTGCTTTTCTGCCTGCTGGTCCATCCGGTTAGGTTGTTTTAAATTAAAAATCTATACGAACGAGATATACATGCAAATATACATATACCTAAACTTCTCGGTTGCGTGCAATTTTTTAGCCCCATTGGAATTAGCAGAGAATGGGTATATCTTGGGTATAGCAATATGTCATTTGAACATTTAATTTTAATACATCTGCTAGATAAACGTGAGTAAAAAATATCTCTAGATAAAAAGGCAATCGGCAGATATTTTATTTATTTATTGTTTATTTAATAAAAAATTATTTGCTAAATATGATTTAAATTGGTCATGTAGAAAATCATTCATATAAATTAGATTTATGTTTTGTAGAGGCAAGAACAGAGCGTGACCCAATGTTGCTTCATGAATATTGCTCATTCGCCGCATTGCCCCTGCATTGGTGCCACATGAGCGATCATTCCATGCCTCTAAATGGAGTTGATGAGAGCATAAGCCGGAGGAACATGTGAAGATGTAGCTTTGGCTGTGGAATGCTGCCTGATGACTTGATTATCACCACTCGCGTGCACTTGCCCCAGCTCTCCGCTGAGGCATGCATGTTGCATCTGTTGCATATGACAGCTGATGATGTTGCACATTTCCTACTTGCCCACTTGCCCCCGCACAAAGTCCAGTTTTTAGCTTCACTGCGTTGCATCATATCCTTCCAGAAGGAAGGATCTCCTATCCTTCTCCCATGTCAGAGCTGCTGCCATGACCAGACTAATTATGCACAAAAGCTGTCCAAAGCAAAAGGGATATGTGAGGGAAGCTCATGAGGGAAAATAGCCAAAACATTCAAAGTAAATTGCTAGGAAAACGGATAGGGAAAATGTGGTTCGATTTGTACTCCTTTTTGTCAAGTTTTTTGTCGAGGGAGGTACTTACCTTATCGAAGGGAAAACAGAATGCCCGTAGGAGCTTCAGCACAGCCCATGCACATGCCCCTGCCCCTGCCACTGCCATGACCTACACTACGCTATCAGGTAGTCAGTAGCCAAAACTGTGCAGCCAAGTGGTAAAAAGTATTCCACATTAATTCAAGCAAAAATAAATTATAAAGGCCAAGGAGCGGGGCCTTCACTTTTCGCTGCGTTGTGCATTTTATGACGTTTAATGTGTTTCTGCTGTCAGCAGCAGAAGTTGCCACTGCCACTACTGCCTCCGTTGCTGCCACTGCCACTGCCGCTGCCACATTCTCTGCCCAGCGTAGATGCAACTTTTTTGCTGTGTGTGTGTGTGTGTGTGTGTGTGTGGCGGCTGTGTGTGCCGCGACGGCGTTGAGTGCATTTTGTTGATTTATAATAAAATAATGTAAAAATATTACACAATAATGAATGCACGGCAACGCGCCCACTCTTTCTCTCCCTCTCCCGGTCTTTCTTGCTATCTCTTTCCTTCGTCAGACGTCCCTTTGCTGTCCCTTTTTCCTTGGGATGAAATATGAAACAAGGAAATACTCGAGAGGTGGAAAAAAGTTTACCCAACGCAGAAGAATATGAAATATGCGAGAAATAAAACTTTTAACTAAAATTATATATGTATACCGTTATACGTTATATATCCACTTACATATGTAAGAGAGTGTGAGAGAGACGGAGGGAGAGGGAGAGGGAGAGTGTGTGTTTGTATTTGTCATGTTGTTTACGCTCACTTCTTGGGCCATATTTCTTCTGTCTTTCTTTCCTTCTCGCGCGTGTGGAAGCTACTTGAGAGATGCGTTTTCGGGACACGCTTTTACAGTGGGTGCTGGAATGCCCTACCCTGGAAGATAGGTCGTTAAAGATTATATAATATGACAAAAAATATACGTAAACTGAAGTAGAATTATAAATAATTCTCAGTAGTTTCAGTAGGACCATAGAAAATCATCAAAAGATTAATTAATTAATTAAGAAAAACATATAAACACCTGTAATATCATATGTACCTGATAGCTTAACTAGTTTGCGATTTGATCATTATTAAAGCCAGAAAGAAGAAGTAGAAATTTTGGCTCTTTGAACACCTGGCTTTCCGCCCCACTCAGAACAATCGTTTGAAATATCTGCTAATGTCTGAAATTGTGACTCGATAAAAACGTACCACCTGTTTTATTATTGTAATATTGATTTCCAATCTTACAGATTTTGAAAACAAATAATGAAATATTAACTTAAGTTTCTGGACATTAAAAAATCTACTCCACAATTTTTTGGTGCTCAACTGTGCATGAGTTCCACAGTAATGCTTGGGTAGAGTATCCAGCAAACTTTGGGGCCGCAAGAACCTTTAACGCAAGCCCTTTCCCCACCCCGTACTCAAAGTCAACACATTCTGGAGCTCACACATTTTGATGCGCTTCCAGATCGTGGCGTCCTTGCAACTTTATCGCACCAGAAATTGCATCATATTTCACGAGACCTCAGCGTGACAACAAAATATATGTGAGAAAAAATCCCCTTACCCCCAATTCACAGAAAGAAACTTCAAGAGAGGTTACATTTACTTACCTGAGCAGCAACTCCCCTCGGTCGCCCCCTCCATAAAACGTCAGTCAACAAAAAAAATTATGAGAGAGAAAAAGTTGTCAAAAGTTGTATGACACTCCCCCCCGTGCCCAGCGTATGAGTTATGCCAGAGAAAAAGTCAAGAAGAGATGAATCAAGATGTTTGTGCTTTAAGAATCGTTTTATTAAGAGCAACCAACTGCTGGTATCATTCTGATTATAATTTATAATGAAACGCGCAGTGAGTGTTCAGAGTGCAATCTTTGGTATAATTTTGAAAATCCTGAGATAAATCTTGAGCATGCACATAATTAATGAAAGACCAAATGTTGTCTTCAGCAGCGTGTGCAGGAAGAGCATCCTAGGAGAAGTAGGAGAAGAGTCCAGTTGTAAGAGGAGTAGCAGTAGAAGCAGCAGGAGGAGCATGCAAAAAAGGCAGTAAACAAAAGTGTAATTAAAAACTACTTAGTGGACCCATCTCGCTCGCTCGCATTCGTTCTCTGTGAGAGGAGTCGTGCGACTCACCTGCGATAAATAGTTTTGCGCTGCTGTAATTTATTATCGTTAGCGTTATCCTTAAAGAAGTAGCGCCTGATGCCGCTGAGGTACGAGCGAAAATATTCGCTCCAATTAATCGTTGCAATGTTGAACTGCAGCAACGTGCGCTCGTCCCGTGGCAACAGCTCGTTCAATTCGTCAATATTCCGATGCGAGAATTTCCACTCCTTCAGACCAAACCAGGCCATCATATCGATGATGCGAGAGATTTTCTTATATGCCTTTACATAGCTACGACAATGAGATAGAGAGGGAGAGAGAGAGAAAGATAGGATTGAGAGATAGGTAGAGATTGCTGTCAATACATTTGCTAATTGGTTGACCCCCAGAGTTCACGAAAGGGCCACCGGTTCTGGTGCTGGCTCTGGCTCTGGCTCTGGCTCGGGCTCTCTGCAGCTACATAAATAAATGGAGAAACTGCTCAGGCTAATGCGCTCTAATTGCAATTTGTTAAATATTACGTATACGTTTTGTTGTCCGACGCTTGCAGGACATAAGGAGCTTGCACAAGTGGGACGATCTCTAAGGTGCTGAAAGGGAACACAACGAAGTGCAGGTGCACTTTCTGAGGTTCAAGACAGGCCGTGCTTAATATGTGCTTTTTTGTAGAATACTAGAATATTAACTTATAATTAATGTGTCAATATTTCTATGGAATATTAAGGCATCATTTTATTCCTTTCAATAACAAATTATATTTCTCTGTTAATCCAGATTTTCCAATTAAAGAGAGACCATTGGTGTTAGAAGAAGAAAAGTAATTAAAAAATGTATAATTAAAGAATTGAAGGCAGATCATAAAGATATATATACTCAATGACAGTGAATGGAATCTTAATATCAAGGTACGTCTGTTTCGACAGATCATTGAATAAATAAAATTAAATCTAATTACACATAACTAAATAGAAAGAATAATTATTTTATTAAATAATTGTTATTAAAAAAATAATTGCATTCGAAAAAGAATTAGAAATTAGTCATATTCATATCTATAATATACTACCTAATAATTCTGTTATTAATATATAAAATAATAATATTCTTATCAAAATTCAAAGTAAAGATGGCCCTTTCCATATTTTAAAACTTTCCAACCCTTTCCATTACGCCTGTCATATGCTACTCATATCGTTCCTGCTACAAACCCCATATGATAGTGGCTATATCCCCTAATGGATACCCTAACCAGCCCAAACCATTCAATTGCCTTTCCATGTACCATTTAAAATCCATTCAATGTAGCAAAACCCCCAAAACCCATACAGAGAATGGATAAGGTGAGAGAGAGAGGAGACAGACACCCGTGCAACAAGAGGGCGAAACAAGGGCAATGACTGCCACCTTGGAGAGCATATTCTCAATATATGTGGGTAGTACACAGGGTCCAGAGGATGATATGAATGTGGCTGTGGCTGTGGGGCAGGGATAGGTATCCATGTGGATGGAGAGCAGCTGGAACGGACGTTGGTGGGCTGTGGTGCTGCGGGGTGTGTACTTACATGCGCTTTTGTCCGGTGACCATGGCAATTAAATCTAAAATATAAGCTGGGATATTGTGCAAGAAAAATGCAATTGCACAATGCAGAGGCTTCGATGGTATTATAACGTACGAGAAGCACCTGTGACAATAATGCGGTCGATCGAAGGATACCGTACATACACATATGTATATGCAGTGGGAGAATGCAGAGAAAAAGGATGTGCATGTGGCAGAGGATTCCCCAACCGTTTGGCATTTCAGTTCGATTTGGTTTTAGTTTGGAAATTCAACCGAAGCGCGCCCGACCCCCCAAAATAGTGGGGAGAGTTTTACATTGTTTAAATCGTATTTTTTGTTTGAAAGTGTTTTTCGTTGCAGAGTTTCGTTTCCGTTTCGGTTTCGGTTTTGGTTGTTTCAAGGTATTAGCAGCAAGCGGGCAGATAAATATTCCATTCGGCCAAAAATCCAACAATATTTAAGCATTGGATTAGAAATGCCATACAATACGCCGGCCATCGTTCGTTTTTTGTTTCGTTTTTTGTGGGAAGAAATTCAATAAAGAATATTTCATTTAAAAATGTTGCAATGCTTTTTCGAGTAGAGCTGGTTTTTGTTTTTTTTTTGTTTTTGTATGCTCACCAAAGCGCCTTGTCGAAGGGCTCGTGAAAGCCTTTGCGCGACAATCGCATGTACTCGCCCCAGGTAATGTTGTTCACATCGGATACGTAGTTGTAGACGGGTAGCTCTGACTTGGAATCCGTTTGCGTGGCACGTATCTTAAATCTGGCAAGTAAAGTATAGATGAAAACAATGGATAGAAGTGAGAAAGAGATGAGATCTGTTGCCAAATGTTTGTTTAATAAAGCTAAATAATTATTTCTATTGCAACCTCAACCTACTTTAATCTCTTAAATATTACATAAACTAATTTATTCTGTACTTTTAGGTATAAATCGGTAGTAGATCGAAGAGCCATTTAATTTGTATAATGTTAAGCGTTTTTCTCCACTCAAAGTACAAGTAAATCTTTCAGCTGGCACTCGCAATCTTAACATCTCCCAAACACTTTCGCAATGTATCTGGTATGCCCAAAGCTTTATAGCGCCTTCATTTCCCTGCCTTTGGTATTTACGAATTTTCCACCTTCTTTTTGTTTATTTTGTTGTTGTACTTGCTTTTCGCAAACATCCGAATGCTATCAGCTTACGGGTGGGAACTCTTTTACAACTCTTTTTACACATCCTTTGGCACCGCTTCCGCTCAACGTGCAGCACCGTAAATGGTAGTGTGTGTGTGTGTGTGTGGCACTAACCTTCTGGCTATATCCCAGGCGGTTGCTATCATGGCATTCACCACATAATCGGCGGGCACCATGTTCGCCTTGCATTTGGCCGTACCGTAAATGCAACGGACGAGTCCCCGGGCGGACCAAGTGCATAAACCTGATGGCCCGTACAAATTATCAGTCCAGCCGGGAAATGGATCCTTGTACGTTGACATTACTGCAAATAAATAAGAATTAATGGCTGCTTTGTTCGAAGGAAGAAAGGGAATGGTAGGGAAGGAGTTGTGTTTGTGTGTGTGTGTGTGTGGAAACGGAATCGCAGTTGCAGTCCGGACTTTGGTTGTTGATTTTAGCCAACGTCAAAGCGATAATGGTTTCAAACCGGTATGGCTAGAGTCCTTTTACCCATTCCCCATTGCCATTGCCAATGCCATTCCCATTCCCATTCCCTTTATGGAACTTCCCTTTCCATTTGCCATTTTGCTAACTGATATGTCCGACTCCCAATTGCAGTTTTTTTCCCTTTGATTTTCCACTAATTTTAAGAGGGTATTGAGAACTAGAAGAATACCTCAGGTAATCTATTAATTCTAGAGATTTTTAAGGTACAAATTAATCATAAATTTAGTGGAAAAATGTTCCATTTTTATTTATGGTTAGAGCATTCAATCTTCTATCAGTTATAAACATATTTTTTGCCATTTTTTTCTATTGCCTTTTTCGGTTCCACTGGGCACAGGAGGCAGCTTAGGATACTGGCTGCTACTGCTGCTGCTGCTCCTCCTACTGCTCCTGCTCCTGCTCCCGATGCCTGCTGGAGGATGCTTTGGCATTTTTGTGTGTTAAAATAAATGAAAATTTGTTTGTGCTTTGTGCCTCGAGAGCATCGGCAGACACTGGGTACCGCACCGCACCGCACTCCACCTACTCCTCCGCCTTTTACGTTTCGTTCGTTACGTTACGTTGCGTTTTGGGATAGAAAAACTTTTTCCACATGCATTTATCTGGTAAACCCAAAGTCCTCTCGCCCTCTGGATGCCCCACCACCACCCATCGAAACTCCCAAACGAAGACAATGCTGTTGGCCATTTTTCACAAAATTTTAAATATTCCTTTTTTTGCTGAAACGATAGAGAGAGAGAGTGGGAGAGAGAGATGGACCCTAGAGTATCTTCTGGCAGCAGGCACTTCCTCCTACTTCTTCCTTGTGTTTGTGTGTGTGTGTGTGTTTTGTTTGCACTCTTGCACATGCCCCTGGGGTATTTGTGCTAATTATCTGACAATTAGTTTGTTAAGTCAAGTCTGAAACCGCAATAAATATACCAGACAAGCAGGCTCCCAGCTCCCAGCTCCCAGCCCCCTAGAACCCACCCCCACTCACCTATGGGCGGTCGAAAGATGCCCGCTGGCATATGGAGTGCCCGATGATTCACCAGATTTTCTGCACATTTCTTGGTCATTGTGTAGGTGTTGGGCATTTGGCCAATGAGGCAGTGGCGCATCTTCTCCAGCGTTTCATCATCAAAGGTGCGATAGATCTGCCAACAAGAAGAGAGAAAAAAGAAAGAGACGCGAATATATTTTCCAATTTAAATGACTCTCATATCAAATATCCAACAAAATAAAAAAAATGATATGCCATGAATGTACAAGTGGTGCCTCCTATACCCTTTCCGGGGAGGAGCACCATGATTATTGTTTGATGTTCCGAACAAAGCTAGCAAAAATAATCCTCAACATCCATATGTGATCTCTTAACAGAAAAAATTAGTTAAAGACCAAGTAAACCAGATCTCAGATTTTTGATTTTTGATTGCGTTCCTCTGTTTTTGTGTGTTTTCAGATTCCAGCAGAAGACCTCAAAAATGGTCTTATTTCTTGGCCGTGTTAGCTTTTGATCAAAAACAGATTCAAATGTTTCTTTTTAGTCGCACTTTTAAAGGAGAGGCTCTTCTGCGGACACTCCCAAATGGTTTATGGTTATTTGAAAGATCTGGAACACTGTTACTTTTACTCTCGCTTAGAAAAATACTCTATGCACTCTTTGACTTTATTACCGATAATGTCTTAAGTATTAATGTTATTTAACTGGCATGTCTTATCCACTTGATACCCTGCTCTTTACATATATGTACATATGTAGAACTATTATACTCATCAAATGTAGACGAACATAGTATAATGTAATGTAAACTCTTCCACAACCTTAAAAAAAACCAGATTCTTCAACAGATAATTTACTTAACACATTTCTATGTATAATACTTTAGTGAACCCAAAACTTCAAGGTAGGGTATATAAACATCGTTGTGGCTGATTTTCATAAATTTTTCTCGTGTTTTTGTCATACATATATTTATGGGGAACATTACGTACCTGTATGATTTTTTCGTAGCCAATTTCGTTCTCGTACACTTGTTCGTTGATAAATTTGCGATTGCAGTTGCAGTACAGTGTCGAAATGTGCACAAACGACTGTGTGTGTGTGCACCGTGCCCAAACCGCCCCCCAGAGGCGTAGGCGTAGGTGTATGTGGTGGTGGTGGTGGTGTGGCATCATCAGAGATCGTCGTTGGAATGAGAATGCATGTCCAAATGTTGATTGAATTGTGTTGGAAATTGTTTGGCCGCGAATCCACGTAAAATATGCAACAACAAAAAATGTTTAACAGAGAAAGACAGAGGGAGAAAAAGCAAGACAGAGTCAGTAAATATTAAAATTTATACATTCATTCGAGACATTTTTGGTTACAAATATAAAACTTTTTGTTTTTGTTTTATTTATGGAATGGATGGAAATCTGGTCAGAGAAAATTTGTGGAAGAATTGAGCTGTAAGCAGCTTTAGGGTTTTGTGTGGAATATCTTGGAATATCTTGATAGAAACTCCACACAAAATTTTTATATTTGTATCATAAATGGGTTGTACCTTAATTTATACCTTTTGCACTATCCTTACCTTCAATTGCTTCATTTCCATGGCCAAATCGAGTATTTTCTTGGTGCCCAAGACATTTATATCAATGGCATCGCTTAGCTTCTCATTGAATTTCACCGATGCCACAACATTGAAGACAATCTACACCCCAAACACAGAGCACAGAGCACCACAGAGATAGAAAGAAAGAGATAGATAAAGCAGAAGACCCAAGAATTGTAATGCATATTAAAAATTGAAAGAAAATTCGGTGTGGAAAGCAAAAGAAGAACAAAAGAAAATGCTCATGCAAAATGCACAAGAGATGTGCATACAAAGCAGGCAGCGACCGAGTGGGCCCCAGCGGCTGTGTGGGGGAATGTTTGGGGTCTGCGTTTTGTGATAACCTCAAAGTCAGGCAACACACAACATCCACCAGATGCAGATGCAGTTGCAGAGCGGTAGGGGTTGGGGTATTGTGGCAGCAGCAGCAGGAACAGGAGAAAATGGTGGAAGGAGGGGTGGGATGGGATGGGAGGAACTGCAGTGCGACGCGTGCATCGAACATCGACAACAAAGCAATTTTAGTTTTAAAACAGTGCAAGCGGCGGACTAAGCAGACCAGTCCGACCAGACCAGGACCAGGCCTCGTCCTGAGTGACTTGTATGCAAAATGTTTTCACAAAAAAAAAAAAGACACAAAAATACAGAGTAGAGGAATAAAAAAATACAAAAAAAAAGCGACGACCAACGGATGCGGATGCGCCAGGCAGTCAGGACGGGACAGCACAGGACAATGGCTCGCGCGCATGCCAAGCACTTGAAGCATGCACAGGAATTTTCATTTATTTATATATTGTGTTTTATAACCGAAGAGCTGCAGTAGGTCCTGAAAGAGCAGTAGGAGCAACAGAATGCTGAACGGGGGCGGGGTGTACGGGTACGGGTACGGGTACGGACTGGAGCTCTCTCCTCTACACATTTTCACAGTTTCACGTGTGGCGGCGGCGGGTTTTCAATTTTTGTTGAAAAGTACAATATATGTATGTATTTATATATGTATGTATATAAATATATCGTGTGCCTCTTGTGATCAAGGGAACAACAACAACAAAAAACTATAAGCAAGAAGGTAAAAGGTAGAATATCAATGATATATCGACTTAAATATACCTGATGTTCAGATTATAGTTTAGAAAATAATCTAATTGGAGGGTGTATACTCGTACGTGTAAGCAGGTGCCTTTCTATCAGATGATTTTAGTATAATTATTTTATTATTATTAATTAATTATTATTAGTTTATTATTATTATTTTATTATTATTAATTTATTATTATTAATTTATTATTATTTTTTCATTATTATTATTTTATTATTATTATTTTACTATTATTATTTGTATATTATTATTATATTTATTATTTTATTATTATTATTTATAGGTATATTGTATACATATGTATATGTATGTTCCAATATGAACCATATATTTCCAAAGCTGTCCCTGGAGATCTTTTCGGTTAGATCTCTTGGATGTGCTTCCTCTAGCTCTAGCTCCTATAATGTTTGAGATCTAAGACTTTAAACAGATTTCCAGCACAGAATCTTCTCCTGCTACTGTTGCACCTAAGCACGAATTTTCTCTGCTAAATCCACCTACTCAAAACACATAGACCCCACGTAATAGTAGGTATTCAAAACGAGAGAAACGAAAGAAATAAACTGACTGGCTGCCTGCTGTTGTCGTAAACATTGCGCCTGCCTTTGGCATGCAACGTTTTACGTATACGTAATGCACAAGCCAGCGAGGGAACAGGGAGTCAGAGAGAGAGAGAGAGAGAGAGAGAGAGAGAGAGAGTGAGTGAGTGGCGGATGGTGGTATGGGCAGGGCAGGACAGGACAGGACTGAAATCGGGGAACCCATCCAGATAGGCAAACACAACAAAAGCCCATGAAAAAGTTGCTCCACACAAAAAGTCCATTGATTGAATTGCCAACAACCGTAGAAATGGAGAGAGAGAGAGAGAGGATGGGGCAATGGGGCAATGGGGCGATGGAGAGAGTGCAGAGGAAGGAGATGTGAAGGAAGGATGAGAAGGAGTGAATGTTACTCTTACCTGGACCTCAGACGAGAGCATTGCTCGGTCGGCGGCATCAATGTCCAGGTCGATGGCACTGTAATCAGCGCGTATCGGATGCACCTTCGCCAACAAATGTGGTGACTCCTCGCGAATTCTATTGAATATCTGCAGAGCAGCATACAAACAGAGTGACAGAGAGAGAGGGAAAGAAGAGACAATGGGTGGGTGGCACATCAACATCGTTGCATTGTCCCTGTTCGCCCTGCTTGTGCCGCTCACAGAATTGACGTGGCATGCATCCCGCATCCTGTGTGGATGACACTTACCGATTCATTGAAAAATCCCTGCAAACGCTCCTGTACGCTCATGTTGTCCTTGCTGCGTATCAGCATGTAAATTTTACGCAATCCAAACGAACGGAGCAATTTCTCTGTTAACACTTTGCCAACGAAACCCGTACCGCCCGTAATGAGTACGTTGGCGTCCCTATAGAAATCCGTAACGGGTGTGCCACTGCCACCACTAGTGCAACTTTCTGTGCCATCATCTGTGGCACTGTTTGTGCTGGTACTTGAGGCTGTGGCTGGTGCTGTTACTCGTGCTGGTGCTGCTGCTGCCTCCTCGAAGAGTGGCTCTTCCTCTGACTGATGGTCCTGCTCTTCCTCGGGCTCCTCCTCTGACTGATGTTCCTCGTGGACAGAAGAAGTACCTTCATTGCTGTTGCTGCTGCTGCGTCTCGATGAGCTGGTTGAGGAGAAGGCCTTACGGTTGGCTAAAAGGGAGAACGGATTGCGGGGAGAATTGAAGAGTATCTGGATGGTATCTGCTCACTTTTATTAGGATTCGCTTCGTGCATTTTTCTATTGACTCTGGAATGATCCATCCGTTCACTTCAAGGGTAAGAAACACATTGAAAACATTTCAAAAATAAAACCCCCGCACGGGGATTTTCTTTTTGTATTTTAATCAATAAACGACAGTCATATATCATGAAAGATTTTCCCACCGTATATGTCCAATTATATGACACAGAGAGACCCGACCACCCCCGCGTCTAACCCAATTATTCTATATGCTATATATCCACACTCCCACTGAAAGGAAGGACATTCATTTCATTTTTAAATGTGTTTGTGGGCTGACATTGTGGTTGCATTTGACCCGATGACCTGGCCTGACCAGCAGCGGATATGTCTGGGTCCAAAACCTCACGCTACATATTGCTTTCTCTTTCTAGCACTTTCCCTTTCGTGTGGAGTCTCTCTCTCTCTCTCTCCTGCTGTACCTTTTTCGTTCGAGGGACATTTTAAACAATGTTAATTATTCAATTATCAACAGCCAATGTGGCCTCCTCCTAGACGGGGGAGGAGGACACACTGTGCCATGCACTGTGCCTGGCCATCACCGTGTCCTTCTAACCAGAGGTGTGACTGTATGTGCATGGTTGTATATGTGAGGGTGCATCCTACATCTGTATTTGTATTTGTATGCATGTGTGGGTGGAGTGCGTGACTATATCCTTCCTTCCTTTCCCCTCGTGTGTGTCACAGTTGGTTCTTGTACATCGCGTGCCACTGCTGTTGCCACTGCTGGTGCCACTGCTGTTGCTGCTGCCTCTCGTGGCACAGCATATGTTGTTTGATTGTCAGCGAAAAATGAGCCACAAGCAGCAGGCACACACACACACACAAACACTGACAATACCTCATTGCGTGACATAGTTGTGGCTGTTGCTGTTGTTGTTTCCTTTCGTATATTTGTTGCTGGCAATATGCAGCGTCTGGCCTTTGTTTGAATGTCTATTAAAGTGGGTAGAGTGGTAGTCGCGTGGTCAAAAGAGTTTTATGCCATAGAAATTTAAAGAATTTAAAGTGTAAATCAATATGAATTCAATAGAAACACTTTAGGTTGGTCAGAGACCTAATCGGGCATGAATTATATGAATTATTGAAAAGACGTGAAGCGCATATGTTTATCTGTTGATTATGGCATAAATTGTTAGCTAAATCTATATATGGTAAGAAGGAATGATAAGTAAAGAATAGAATAGAGTATAATAGAATTCTCCCCATTTAAATGTCTGCTCTTTCATGCATTTTTCATAAATGTTCATAGTATTTATTGGTATTCTGATTCTCTTCGTACAACTTTAACTTACTCTCTCATTATTTTTGTTAAAGCTGCGTTGACTTGTCGCACCTGTCGCCCTGGCCATGGGCTATCTCCAATCGAATTCAATTTGCATTAATTATACCTACATCTATCCAATCTCTGGCCATACGAGTATTCAATGATTATTTATTACCATTTCACACTCTCCACTGGAACTTGGTGAAATATAAATAAAAATAAAATAAAAATTTTAATTAAAAAAAATTAAATAAAAAAGTATAAAACATATTCAAAGATTATCTAGAGATCATCTGGAGACTTTTAATCCTTTCTGCTTACTTTTCAAAATTCCACCTTCAACTAAACTTGCTCAACAGAAAAGCTTCTCTTAAGACATATTTCGCCTTCCAAAGGCTTGAACCTCAGCGAAACCGAAACACCAAGATGTGCTATGTATTCGACACCATCTAAGGGTTAAAAAGCTTCAATTTTTAAGCATCTTGAGCTTTAACGTGGCCTGCCGCGGCATCCGGTTCGAGTCTCCACTAAACTTCACATCTTTTGAGGTGCAACAAAAAGCTTGAAATAAATTTATTTGAAAGCTCTTTTTCGCCTTAGGCCAAAGATACTTTTGATGGGCGGAAAAGTACACTTCCTTAGAGGATCTTTAGCACAGATTTATAGAACATAGCACGCCATAAAATATGCAAGCAAAGAGCTTTCGTTGGGCAGACAAAATTAAGCGGAAACGGCCGGCCATTTGTGTGTTTTCCATTTCAACAATTTATGACCGCTGCATGCCAGCAGCATTAAAAATAATAATTATAGTCGCGTAATAATTCGTAATTAACATTCCATTCCATTCCGGTTTTTTTTACTTTTTGGTTTGCTTAATGACTTGAAATGTTTATTCGTTTTCAGTTTGGTAATTTAATATGAGAATAATTACATTAATTAGCCTTTCTTTTTTTTTGGTTTAATGAAAAATATTGTACACACACGCATACATATATACAGACACGGGGATACATATACATATAATCGGATTTCAATAATTTAATTTAAATGCTAATCTTAATTGTTTTTAGGTGATTATCGGAGCTCGCAAATAATTTTAGTTTCCGAAAAAATAAACATTTTTTATTGTAAGATCGGCTACTTTTCTCCCTCTCTCTCTTCGTGTTTTTTTTCGACTCAATTTGGTTTTTTTTTTGGGTGTTTTATAGACCGTATTGTTTAAATATTTTGAGTCTTATTTGCGAGCTCTGTTTACATAATTAGTTGGTACGTATTTCATTTCAAATTTGATTTGGTGAAAGCTTTAAAGTAATAAACAATCGATATCGTTTTTAAGCAAAGTCTACATAATGTTTGTATATGTTGTGCTTTAAGGAACGTAAATTTTAGCTGTAGTTGACAAGTTTTCCATAATTATAATACTGTACAGGCCCCACCCACACTCACCCACACAATCAACACAAATCCGCTTGGAGCCATCATTATCCAGGGGACTCGCAATCACAATTCATTAAGACAAAAATCACAGATACCAATATCTTTCCATCCCTAAGAGTATAAAAACCATCTTAGAGCTGATCCCATAGAGCTGATCCCTTACTCTCCTGCTGCAGCGGCAAGTGGACACGGGTTACCACCTCGCCGAGAATGCACGAACCATCGCAATGCTCGCAAATGCAGCTGGCCCTGCAGCCCCTCCGCGAATCCACTTTGCCGTTTAGCTACTCGCTGGGTGGCGTGTTCGATGGCAGCTCCATGAGCGCCATATCATCCTCGCACTCGATGACATTCGGATGCAAAGGCTTGAAGTTGTTCCGTCGCCATGGCGGCATAGAGCCAATACTTGAACCTGGAGCACCGTGAACCAATGGACCAACAAAGGTAACCACGCTCTGATGATGATGATGATGGTGTGCGCTGCCTGCTCCTCCTGCTCCACCTCCTCCGTTGTTGTTCTGGCTGCAGAGCAGGCTGACATTGTTGCCGCCTTGAATCCCATTTCGTGGCAAATGCAAACCATTTTTGATGCCATTGTTAGTGGCACCGCCACCACGACCGGCGCCGCCGCCAAACAGATTGCTTCGTATGCGCATCGAGGAGTTGGCATAAGTGGACCTGATGGAGCTGGCACGCGTGTGCATCGAGAAGGTACGCTCGTGGGCGTCGAGACTCGTCTGGAACTTGCAAAAGCAGGCAGCGAATCGCTTATTGAATTCTCGCTTGAACTTCTCCTGCAAATTGAAATCAAAGTTTTGGTTTATTAAAAAAAACGCAAAAGAATCAGTGCCCCCCTCGCTCCCCTCAAGCAGTGCCAGCAGCCTCTTTGGCTAATGAATGTAGGCTATGAGAGCCACCTCCTGTCTCACCCAAAAAGCACTCCACTCCATTTGTCTTTGGCTGACAGTAAGAATAGAATATTTGTTGACAAAAGTTTTCAGCAGGAGGCAAAGTTTATGAGCATTTCGTAGATCCCGCTCCAAATCTATGTACATATCTTTCACACAGACAATTTAAGTGTCACAGCGCACACAGCCGTAGGGTTTTCCATTCGTATTTTTCCTTTTACGGCTGCCTGGCTGATTTTCCCTAGTCCTGCGATTTTTGTGGATTTCTGTCTGTCTCACCCCCTACCCGCAAGTCGTTCGTTTTGCGGCTAAGACGACTGTAGGTGTTTATTTATGGGCTACAGTGGAACGTGGCTTTAATTAACTTTGACAAAGTATTTTTCGCTATTAACGCCAAAGTTATTTTTGTCAAAGAAAATTGCCAATAAAAAGAAAAAGGAAAAAGTTGGATGGCATGCTAATAAATCAGCAAAAAAAAAAAGCAAAAAAAAAATCGAATGTCAAAGCAAAATCGATTTTTAAGTTGAAAAGGAAAATGAATTTAAAATAAACTCTCATTAGTGCGAATGCAGCATTTTCATTAGGGAAATTGTGGGTTGTTTTGGGGAGCTCTTTGACGGCAGCCGGGATGTTTATTTTATTACGAATTTTATTTAAATGATGAGAAATTCATTTCATTCGTTCTTTGAGTTTCATTTTAGGTTTTGCCTCCTCTCTGCTTTTGGTATTGGGAAGAATCGATATTAAAATGGTTTTCGAGTGAGAATACTGTGAGTGCATTTATCCCTGTGTAATTTTGGTCTTGGCAGATAATTTGATGAAAGGAAATCCATTGTAAAAGGATGTTTAACCCCAATAAACGCCAGACAATAGCAAAACCCCACTTAAGGCCAAAAACCTGTAGCAAACTGAGAACCACTTTTATTGCTATTTTATGATCAATTCCCTCTAGTGTTTACCCAACCTAAACAAGGCCCCTGGGTCCAGGCAGCCACAAATCACAGAGCGAGCAAACACACACACACACACAAATACAAATGCAAATCAGGGGACACAAATCACAAATGAGAAATCACAAACCAGAACTCACATTGTAGATGCCATAAATAAAGGGATTGTAGCAGCTATTGCTCATTGCCAGCCAATCGCAGCAGAACCAAACGATGCTAATGAAATGATAGTCGTTGATTTCCGGTATCGTCACATACAGTATATTATAGAGCTGCAACGGTAGCCAGCACAGACCGAAGATAATCACAACGATAATCAGCATTTTGATGACCTGCAATGGCAGAAGCGACGAGACATATACAGTGTGAGTCTAAGAGCGTTTCAGATTGAAAAGGAAATTAGAGCCGAGCTGCTCTCCTACCTTCTTCTTGTTTTTGAGCAGTGTTATGTCCCGTGAATCCTGTGCATTGCCTGGGGCTCTCGTGCCCCACAATCGCACTGCCATTTGAATGTAAACGAAGCTGATGACACAAAATGGAACCAGATACTGGACAAAAACCAGAGAATATCGAAATGTTTGCAACTGGTCATCCGATAGATTTTTGTTCATGCAAAAGTTTCGTGTCACATTGAAGGTCTCATTGTTTTCTATACGAGGTGGATGTGATAAGAAACGAGATTAAGTGGTGCCGTTTAGCCTTAGCCTTAGCCTATGCAAATTGAGTATGACTTACCACGAAACCTTTCGGTTAGCTCCTCCACGCGAAAGGCAATGGCAAAGGGCACGGCAAAGAGCAGAGCCAGCATCCAAATTCCAGCAATTATGAACTTTGATATGAACTTCGTAGGACGTGCCCTGCAAACGTAAGGAGGCCATTTTTAATGAGTGTTTTCTGTGTGTTTCTCCCACAAAAAAAAAACAAAAAAGAAAAGGAAAATATTATAGACAGACTTACCTAAGTGGATTAATGATGGCACGATGTCGATCTATGGCAATTGCGGTCAATGTGAACACCGACACATTGACGCTCAACGCCTGTACGAACGGACAGAAGCTGCACATGAACCAAGGCAGATTCCAGCTCTGCAATAGAGCCGCCTGAAACTGTAATGGGGGAAAACAGGAAAGTAGAGCAATGAGTGCGTTGTGGGATGATGAAATCAGACAGAAAATTTTCGCTCAGTCACAGGGTCAAACATCATTAATGAAGCCATTGGCTCGTCTCTCCATCGCCATCTATCTCTCTCTCTCTCTCTCCTCCATTTCCCCAAAATCACTGCTGTTTTTCTGCTCTAATTCGTGTTTACCAAACTCTGTGCGAGTGGGTGCCACTATGTTTTTGTAGTTGATCCGGATATTTGTCCTTGCTGTGTCCCAGCCAAATTGCAATCATTTCGCCCAGCTTATTGATGGCAATAGCGCTGGCAGCGCTTCTCATTCGTATGTAGTTTACCAAATTAATGAAAATTTATTGCGAAAAACGTACCCACTGAATTGTCAAGCGGGGAACACAAAGAAACTACCGCCAGAGTTTGTGAAGAATCGATTTCAATATATTTTAGCAGTGATGTGCTGTGCTGTACATTGAGAATTAATATCTGTAAGTTTATGCCTATTTTTTTGGTCGAAAATATGCATAAAATACCGATTAAAAATCAGGTCTAAATTCTACCAAAATTTTAAATAAATTATACCTAAAGTTACCCATCGACAGCAGATGCAATAAATAAAATTTTATCAACCAGTTTGTACCTATTCATCTGCGGCACTTTCCATCAAGTTAGCTTGTTATCTTTTCATTTCCTTGTCGTTCGAAGTTTGCCTTGAAAACGTGCTTTGAATAAATAGTAAATATTCTGCATAAATTCGTATATAAAATATGCAATTACTTTTTGCATACAAATATTGTATTTGCATGATAATAATTTCTCTTGAACATAGCATAAGCTGCTGCCTCTTTTATGTCTCGAAGGGCTTAATGGGTTATTTCCCATTCCACGTCCAAGTCCTATCGATAGAAAAATACTCCTAGGTAATGGCTCTTGTCTAAACCAAACAGAACAAAACAGAGCAGAGTTATCCAACATAAAATAATTTGTTACATATAATACAAATTTAATTTGCTTTCAATTGCCTGGCAATACATTTTGTACCCACTTGGCTTTTAGCACTTTATGTCGATGAATGCGAGTCCCATTAACACATAAACCAAAAATCGCATTAAACTTTCAAGTGCTAGGTAATATTCCATTATCATACATAGTTGGGACTGGATGAGAGTTGCGGCCCATGGAATGGAATCGGAAGAGGCTCTTTCTAAATCCAAACATGAACGGAAATTAAATTGATGCACGATTATGCCATCCCTGTGGTCCTGCTGTGCTTGTGTGTATGTGTGGATTATGTACCTATACCGTCTGTCTGATGTCTGTATGTCGTAAATAAATGAAAATCAGGCTAATGTCATTTGCTTGCGTGATTTATGCCCACGCGATTGAGAGTGTGCGTCAGCGCGCAGTGTCAGTCTGCTGGGGGATAAAAATCATTCAAGTTTGAAATCCATCGTTGCGTATGGGTGCGTTTTTGGTCCCAAAAATGAAATGTGCCTAAAATGCCAGTAAAACAATGCGCACACCATAACTCACCTGAAATGGTATGCAAAAGAGTCCTATTATCACATCGGCCAATGCCAGATTTGCAATGTACATGTTCGTTACGGTGCGCATTTGCCTTGTGGTGGCCACCACCCAAATGACCAGGGTATTCCCGATGACAGCCACAATGCTGATGCCGCCATAGAAGATGGACAGCAATGCCACAATTTCTGCAGGTGCGGCATACAAACGTTCTGCAAAATACAATTAAATAAAATAAAATATTGGGCGAAGAGAAGATGAATAGTTGTAAGAAAATTGTCCCCTAATTGGTTTGGTATGTCCCTGACAGTGGAAAGATTAATAAAAGTGTCATCTGTCAGTCTGTCAGTCAATGGTGAAATGATTTACACTCGAGGAAATTGAATTTGTAGTACGATATTACTTGTATGTCAACTGTAGGTGTGGGTGGTTGAATAAAACAGAGTATTTGCTTGCCTTTAGTCACCTTTCTCAATCAACTGAAATTAATTCTATTAAATCGGAAAACTTTCTTGCTCAGCCCATGAATAATGCCAACGGCCAACGGACGAACTGTCAAAACAACAGCTAAACTCTGGAATGTTTTTGATTGATTAGACACGTCATGTCAAGGGCCCAAGGAACCGAAGGGATTAATGTTGGATGCAGCTAGGTACTTACCAAACTCTGCCTCCTCCTCGGCCCCCGGCAAAAAGTCTATGCGTGGCTCCTGCTCTATTAGTTCCATGGCCATGGCACTTTGTTTTCTTCTTCTTCTCCTTTTTGTTTTTTTTTTGTTTTTTTTTTGTATTCCCTAAGAAAATATGTGATCTCCCTTCTCAGCTGCAACTTTGTTGCTGTCGCTTAGCTCTTGGGGTTATTTATGCTGTGGAATGCATTTTATGGATGGTCTCATCATCATTGCTGCAAGCTGCAAAGGAAAGGCAAAAATAAACTCCAGTAAAAATCAATCGATTTCCAAGGCAAATAAAATGGGCAGTCATTAATTCAATGTTCATTTTCAAAAGAGTTTTTTTATGCGAAACTGAAACTATCTGAAACTGAATTTTAAAAATGGCAAACAAAAACAATCTCAACATTCTAGCACATTTTTCACTCTCAGCGTGGGTGGACGTGTATGAATAATGCTTCAGGTACCTTTCACCTGTCGACTTTATCAAGTGAAAGGTTTGCATTTAATAATAGAGAAAGTGAAAAATCCTCATTCGTGTGGGAGCTTTGTCCATATTTTCCTCTCTGGAAAATAGTTTTCCAACGATAAAATGTGTTTTTGTTGCTTCGTTTGGTTTGCATTTTTAGAGTGGACCTAAAATACAGAGACACTCACAAAAAGTTCAATGAATCTACCGAAAATGAGAGTCTCATTTGGGTTTTATTGCCCATTTATCGGTTGGTTAACATTGTGCCGGGCGACTTGTTAATTTATTCACCAAAGAGTCAACATCATGGTTGATAGACTTGTTAATTAATTGGGCAACTAAATGGATGTTTTATTTCCCATACAGAATTGTTGTTGGCATTAGCATTGTGTTTGCCTGGGGGGTAAAACTACAGGATGGCGCATAAACTATAACAAATTAGCGGCTCAATTACCCTGCTTTAAATTATGCTTGCTAAAAGCTTCCTCCCTTCCACTAGTCCCACAAATCATAAACTCCCCTGGTTTCCTTTTACTCCACTCTCTCCATAATTTACAGGCTGAATACCACATTTAATAAGAGCATACATGCATAAATTGTACTCCATTTCCCTTGTGGGTGCAACTTCTAACATACAATATGTGGTGATATTTTTACAGAAATTATTACCCCTCCCTGGATTTGGCATTCGCCTCCTCTAGCCTCTTCTGTATATCCCCAAAAGCCACCTACAATCCTAAAATTAGAACCATTACCGTAGCTCAACCAAAGCTGGATATAATATGGCAGCTTAGGTCCTAATCCGATACGCTGCAGATGAGCTTTTTCCATTGTAAAAAACAAACTACGAGTGAAGCTGTGTGGAGTGCTCTTTCCGTTGAGTGTTTTGCCACCACAGGCCACTAACTTATTCTGTTTCTGGCGCTGCATCACCGTGAAAGGTATAAGGCTCCGACATGGCTAGACCACATGTGTGGCGGCGGGGTTCTGCCCCTACCACTATGCAAAAAGTGGCATAACATTTTCCAGTATCAGATGGAAAAACCAACAATCCGTTTAAGCTCGCCAGTCAGAAAATGCAATTAGTCTGTGGCCACATTTTCTAATTAACGTCAAAGAAGAAATCTCTTGTTCTTTTGTGATGTTTGGCTTGCGCTTCAATTTTCGATGGTCAACTTCAGGCTCATTTCAAGACATCTTCAAGTATTTTTTTCCCCCAATTAAAATCACTTGAATACAAAGCAACCAAAACGAAAGATTCATGTCAACAATTAATTTCTGAATTTCACAGACACTTGACTTCACTCGTAGCACGTTTATCGTCGCTTCACAGGTCCTCACCTGTGTCCGCCTCCTTCGCATTGAATCACAAAAAGTTAAAAAATTTGAATGGAATTTGATGGATGCTCAAGCAGCCGAATGATATTAAAAGTGTATCCTATTAGATGGTACATCAAAGTGAAAGTTTCATATTAGATTGGGAAAACGTGTGTTGACGCCGTCAAATGTCAGAGACCGGAGCCAAAGAACGATCTCAGTGGCTGATGTGATATGAAAATGTCACCCCCCTGGGTGGCTTTTCCTTTTTAAATAACACATACGACACATAAGCTGGAATCGAGCCACATTATGTCGCAAGGCTTAGACAAGGCTCCCACTGCTGCCCTTTGCATAAAAACAACAATACAAAAGGCAACAAAAAAATAATGAAAAATAAAAAGGAAGTCATGGAATGGCAATGGGAATGGGGTTAGATATGTCCAATAAAAGAGCAAACTGTAGGCAATTTTCGGAGGGTTTGGGCAGCTTAAGAACTAAGCGTGTCTCTCAGGATGCTCTTTGTTTACAATGCCAATGGACTCTGGACTCTAAGCCTAAACATAGACGACATGTCGGAGACGACATAGTAAGAGTCAATTGTGACGCTTTCTGGTCTTTGATGGGTCTTTGGGGAGCATGGAGAATGGTTGCCGGTGGAGTCTCCGTCTATGCTTAAATAAGTAAATAATCACAGTGTCTTTGGGCTTCAATTGTAATTAGAAAAGCTTAAGGGCAATGCTTTCCATTAAATGTGGGGGTCAATGGGGTCATAGTGGGGACTCGTTAATTAAAGTAACTTACAAAATATTCACTGAGATTTTCCAACAAAAACGTCTTTTACAATTTGCAATTTACAATTACAATTCGTACATAATTTAACACAAACAAAAAATATACGATTTATACTTAACTTTGGTATAAACTATAATCTATTTATGATCTAAATTAAGCCTATTTTTGTGTATGTATTTATGTATATTAAATATAAAAAATTAATTGAGTAACAACAGCAATCAATGAGGTATAAATAAGTCAAGATAATGTCTTGTATATACGCATATTACGCATAAGCTCTACAAAATTTTAGTTATACATTTCACATAAGTCATATTTCTAAGTTACCCTGAAACAACTACAGATATTTAAATTATTACTCGCATTCCGAATGCTGAACATTCAACCACAAAGTGGCCAAACCCCCCAGTAGGTAACGGCACAAACAGAATTCCACACTTCATCAAAGTTTACTACCCGAAACTTAGTTTTTCAGCATTTCTTAATTGTTTGCCTTTGTTTTGCTGTGTTTACTGTGGTTTGACATTTCTGTTCTATTTTTAGCTCCATTTCATTCCAGTGGTTTTTGTGAAAGTCTTTTTTCCCGACCAACTTTTACTCCTTTTGAGCCACTTACTATTCCCGTGAGACAGTGTCCTGTCTGTCCCTCTTTCAATTATTATAAAATTGCTGGCCACTTGAGTATTTTACACCGCAAAAAGCAGCATAAGAAGATGAAAATGAGTACCAGAGGAGGAGAATCCACAAAGGAGCAGGTGAAATTCCATTAAAAATACATAAAAAATGTAATTCCCAATAGAGCAGGTAAATTATTTGATGACAAAATATTGGCTAATTTATGCGAATTGCTGCGATAAGATGCTTACCACAATCGCTGGCCAAGATTGTTGAGAATGGCAACAGCCATTCCTTCATTGTAAGCTGGTTGATAGAATGCAGGACAACTTTTTGCCCACCAGACTTTTCGCAGACTTTGCTTGTCCTTTTTAAGGTTTGTTCCTACCTTCTGCCCTTTTGCAATCTCCCTACTAAAAGTATCCATCAAAAGGGACAAGTTCAACAGTCTCTCATTACTGTTCCCATAATATCCTGTCCATTTGTGGGCATACTTCGCACAGCCCAAATTATGGTATGTGGTGATCTAAGGTCCTTTCCAGAAAATTAGCAAAGCATGAAATCTTTTGCAAATTTGTTAATGGCATTATTTCTGACCATCGGGTGCAGTGCAGAGGAAAGGATTTTCTTAAAAAGTGCCCCTAGGAGGGAGTGATTTTTAGGACACGTGGCAGCTTCGCGATTGCTTTGGGTTTACAATTGTGGAGGCGTCTACTTGGGCAAAGAAATTAAGCAATTTTTGTACACTTTTGTGGCATAATTAAATATGGTAAAATCGTGTAACCTTTACGACAGTTTTTTATGCATTTCACGAAGACCGTGACTTATTTTTTTTAGCCGTTTCTCTATGTATTTTAAAGCTCTTTCTTTCGATATCCACACTGATCAAACCTTCAACTTTATGGTTATTCTTTCCTAAGAATTTCTCCTCTCCCTTCTCATGATATGGAATTTTATTTGAAGTACATATATTTTATAAACTCCCACGAGAGAAAGTAATTAAAAAGTTTTTAAGATTCATGAGTGTCTAGACCTTTTTATACGCAAAATATAGAATTTCTTCTTCGCTGTTATTTTATCCAATTACTGTTCATTTTCTTTATTTTTCACAGCCTCTCAAGCATCTATCTGTAAGGCCTACCCTATCCATCAATAGTTCTTAGTTCTTAAGCCATTAATGTTCTGTTTTTATTGCCTCTCACACAGCACGAAACCAACTTTAATCCCAATTCTAATCTAATAAAAAACAGAGAACACAATGAAAATAAATAAAGGAAGGAAAATGGAAAAGGCGGAAACAGAATTAGAAACAGAAACCAACGCAGAAGAGTGGGGATATTTTTGGCACACATTTTGTGTGTGTGTGTGGTGGGTGGGGGATTAATATAATTGTAATAAATGTGAATGTTACCCGCAGGTGCTGTGCTCTGCTGTGCTGTTAGCAGAGAGTAGGATGGATACCAAAAACGATGAGGAAGGAAACACACGCACTTTCTAATAGGGATTACCATCAAACGAATCCCTTATTGCACACTCATTTGAGTTTTAGTTAATTGCCAGAACACAGCCCCTTGGGGGCGGCAACACTGCACTATCTTTGTATTTGAATCTAACGCTTTTCTGGCAGTCAAGACTTTCACTTTGCAGCACTCTCACACTTTCACTTTTGCGCTTTTAAGACTTTCACTTTCGTTGCATGTGAAGCGTTTCTCCTAAATGTAGTCCTTGCTGTACGAGTATCCTTTATCAACTGTTTTTTTGGCAGGAGTTGGTTCGGCGCACAACTGTTGAACCCCCCAAAAACCGAGCGACATACACGAGGAGCAATGCGAGCCGAAGCGAAGGAAATGTTAAGGAAAATCGAGGGAAAAACTCAAGTCGTGGGCACTCGACTGGCGTCACGTTAATAACACAACAAGTTGCACTTCAAACTTGTTCAAGTTCAACGTCAAACAGGTTGCGCCTGCCTTGCCCCCAAAAACAAAAACCAAAAAAAAAAAAAAATTTAATAGAAAAAATGAAGAATTTTTGCCCTATAAAT